ATTGAATTTCAGGAGGAAGAACTCCACTCACAAGATAGTTTATGTAGTCCGCGTACCATGATCAGGGTCATGGGTGATGGCAAAAACTTGCTCATAAGGAAATGTCTCCTTAATTCGTCCACCTTCCTTTACGTGCTCATGATTTTCCAGTCGCGACAGGTGGTCAGCCACTTGATTTTCTGTGCCCTTCCGATCTTGTATTTCAACATCAAATTCCTGCAATAACAAAACCCAGCACATCAACCTAGCTTTGTATTCTTTTTTCGAAAATAGGCACCTGATTGCTACATGGTCGGTGTGGACTATGGCTTTTGTTCCCACCAAGTAAACCCAAAATTTTTTATAGACCCATACAACAGCCAATAACTCCTTTTCAGTGGCAGTGTAATTCAACTATGCATCATCAAGAGTCTTATTCGCATAGTATATGGAGTAAAATATCTTGTCCTTCCTCTGGCTTAACACTGACCCAATAGCATGGTCACTTGAATCACACATATGTTCAAGTGGCAAGGACCAATCAGGTGCCACAATGATGGGGGCAATCACCAACTTCTCCTTAAGCTCCTCGAATGCCTTTAGACAGACTTCATCAAATTTGAAAGTTACATCCTTTTCGAGCAACCTGCACAATGGAGTAGCAATTTTAGAAAAATCTTTAATAAAACGTCTATAAAAACATGCGTGTCCCAAAAAAATCCGGACACCCTTCACAGAGATGGGTGGAGGTAGTTTTGCAACCGCCTCCACCTTTGCCCTATCAACTTCAATGCTGCTCTTCGATACTCTATGACCCAAGACGATGCCCTATTGCACCATAAAATGTCACTTTTTTAATTTAGCACCAAATTTGTTTCTTCACACCGTGCCAACACTTTGGCCAAATTCTTCAAGCAATCATCATAAGAAGACCCAAAGACTGAAAAATCATCCATGAAGATTTATACAAATGTTTCTACTATATCAGTAAAAATGGTCATCATGCACCTTTGGAAAGTAGCTGGTGCATTACAAAAACTGAATGACATTCGCTTGAAAGCAAAGGTACCATAAGGGCATGTGAAATTCGTTTTCTCTTGATCCTCTGAGCATATGACAATCTGGTTGTACCCCGAATAACCATCAAGAAAACAATAATACTCATGCCCAGCCAACCTGTCCAACATTTGGTCAATGAATGGAAGTGGGAAGTGGCCCTTGCGGGTTGCTTTGTTGAGCCTTCTCTAGTCAATGCAAACTCTCCACCCCGTCACAGTGCGAGTAAGAATTAGCTCATTTTTTTCGTTTTCCACCACAGTTATCCCGCCCTTTTTAGGTACACATTACACTGGGCTTACCCAATTACTGTCATAAATAGGAAAAATAATACCTGCATCAAACCACTTAATTACTTCCTTCTTCACGACCTCCTTCATAAGAGGATTCAAACTCCTTTGTTGCTCAACGCTGGGCGGTGTCCATCTTCTAGCTTGTTATCACGTCAAGCTTGTTACAAAGAGTTATTATAAATTTTCGGTACACACAACTTGAACGATATAATGCAAATTGTATCCCAAACCTTAAGTTTTCTTGCTAGTTGTTTGGTCTAAGTATACTGCGAGTTTCGCAAACTCATGACTTTTTGATTCATAATTCACACTATTTTAAAATAAAGATATAAATAAGATTAAGTATATATTTTAGAATTTAGAATTTAAATTTAGAATTCACATCATCTAAACTTTGGATTCGGCACGGCTATTGTCATCTTTTCTCCTCCTCCATTTATTCAAGCAAATGCTAATTGGTGCTTGATTTCCAAATTAAATTCAAAGTTCCTAAAAAGTTAATATTCTTGGAAATATAAAGTTGTTAATATGCCTGTGTATCTCGGCGTCCTATGCAAATTACTGCTAATAATATTAAGGTGCCTAATATTAATTTAATAGTGTGTTCTTCTACAATCGCTTTAGTTTGAAACTTTTCTTGAAAGAATATTTATTTTATACTTCAAAGTTCTTAAGAAATTACAACACATATTCATATCTAATATCTCAACAGTAAATATATACCACTGCATCTTGTTTCCTCTCACAAGAGTAAAATAGTTATACAATCAGCTATACTCTTTTAAGAACCTTTTTTATTAACCTAAAGACCACTTCGGAAACTGATTATTTTCCTTCTCTCTCTACCTTTTCTTTTTTCCTCTGGAAACTGATTCAAGCCTTCAAGGTCTTCTAAGAAGATATGATACAGTATTACTATTCACAAATACTGTCGAGCATCACAAATGGCGTATAATTTAAATGGAAAATACATGATTTGGCGGAAAGATATATGCAGAACATTAATAATTAAATTAAAGGGAAAAAGTCGGAGCAGACTGATTGAAAAATGTGAATATCATAAAGATTAACATAGAGGCATTGGAAAAAAGAAGGCACACAACAGAAAGTAATAAGAATTGTTGTAAAGAGAAGCATAAATCAGATGATCGAGGCAAGTCACTCGAGAACATTTGGCAAGAAGACCTGCATTGGTCAAGTGACCTCACATTTTCTTTCTCAATTTCTTTTGGGTTGAAAAATAGTTAAATGAGTGGGTTAAGGTGGATGGGACCTTTTTAATATTTTAAAAACTTGTGGGTCACCTATAAAGTTTAAAAAATAATACTTCTCTCTGATTTTTCTGCCCAATTTCTCTCTCATCTCTCTATTCTCTCTGCTCTCTCTTCCCTCTGTCACTCAACCCCATCGACTACGGTGGTTTTCGGCGGGAAGGGACAAGAATCAAACTTCGATTTTGGGTGGAATCATCTTTATAGACCCAACAAGCACTGTATTAAAGCTCAGAATGCGTCAATTGTAGTAAATCCTAAATTCTTCTTTTACCGTTTCTTACATTTTTGTTTTCGGATTTTGTAGAGTGATTCGTTCATGTGCATGTTCAAGATCGATTGGGTTGTGTATAACCATATCTTATATGGCGTGAGTAGTTATATTTGCTTCTTAGACTACCTCTGTGCTCTGTGTTTTAGAATTTTGTCATAACTGACGACCTAATGTTTATCGATAAACCTACGGTCGATTGTTTTATGGTCATAGATGTTTGCTGGAATTGGGGCTTATTTTTGTTATCCTGATCATAAGTTTGAAATTATTAAATGTGATATTGCATATTTGCATGTAGGTAATATGAGGAGGAAATTAGTTGCTAAGAAGCATATTCCTTTGACAAAGAATGCAATTGCACAGCCTTCAAAGCTTTCAAACAGGAAAGGAAATGCAGAAAAAGAAGCATCGCCAAGTAAAGCAATTACTGAGCCTTCAAAAATTGCTACTAGAAAATGATATGCAGATACTTCTAAAGCTTGCCCTAGTAAAGAAAATGCTGAGATTTCTAAGCATGATAGGAGGAAAAAAAATAAATAGCCATCAAAGTCTATCGGTAAAAAAAGAACAAGATCAAGGTCTAGATTAGTTGACGAGGACACACCTGCTAGTAAAACATTTGTTGAAGATATGACCGTGATTTAATTTTATTGATATCGGGGTCGGATCCCGATTCTAAAAGTTAGAATAGGTCCTTTATGTTATTTATGACTTGTGTGCAAAATTTGGAGTCAATCAGAGTTTTTTGGTATGAATCGACATTGGTTTCGAAATTTGGAAGTCCATAGTTTCCTAGGCTTGAATTGGGTTATGATTCGTAGAATTAATGTTGTTTTATGTGATTTTGGGCCTCGAGTAGGTCCATTATGTATTTTGGGACTTGTTGGTATATTCGGATGGGGCCCCGAGGGCCCCGGGTGTGATTCAGATCAATTTTGGACTTAGCCTCATTGCTGAAGTCCCCGACGTGCTGGTGTCATCGCACCTGCAGAGGGATTGACTGCAGGTGCGGAAGGTGAAGCGCAGAAGCAAAAAGGAGAGCCCAGGGCTGGGCTCACAGGTGCGGACACCTAGGCGCAGGTGCGCCTACGCATGCGCGGACCAGCTTGCGCAGAAGCGGAATTGGAGGAGGAGACTTTTGGCGGGACCGCAGGTGCGATCTCCTTCTCCGCATAAGCGGGATCGCAGGTGCGAGCCATGGTCCGCAGAAGCGTAATTTCTGGAGTTAAATGGAATCCGCACCTGCGATGGATTTTCCGCATGTGCGGCATTGCAGGTGCGACCCCAGGCCCGTAGAAGCGAGGATCGCTGGGTATAAATATCTTGTTCGAGGGTTTAATCTTTATAGTCCATTTTTGGACTTAGAGAGTTCGGTGTGAGGCTATGTTTCGGGAGATTTTCAAGAAAAATATTGGAGTAAGAATTCCTAACACGATTCTGGTTAAAATACACGAATCTATTATTGTTTTCATCTTTAAATTAGTATTTTGGAGTTGAAAAATTGGGAAAAATTTGTGAAACTTCTTAGGTTAAAATTTGGGGATTTGAAAGGCAATTTGAGGTCGGATTTGAGTAATTCTTATATGGACTCGTTATCGAATGGGTGTTCGAATTTTATAATTTTTGTTGAGTTCTGAGGTGCGGGCCCGAGTTGACCCACTACAAAAACAAATAACAATTAGCGACGGATTTTAGCGACAAATTTTGTTCCATCGTTGATTAACGACGGATTGGCTACGGAATAACAGTTTCGTTGCAAAAAAAGCCAAAAAATAGTTAGTATCTAATATAGCGACGGAATAGTGACGAAATCGAAAATTTGTCGCTAATTGTTGGCGCTAAATATTGGCGCCCTCAATTTACCTACGGATTTAGCGACAAAAGGTGAGCGACACAATTTATTTAACTACAGTGATGGATTTAGCAACGGAACATCCGTCGCTAGATTTAATTTCTTTATGAAAATATTTTAAAACTCCTTGCTACGGAAATTTCCGTCGTTAATTATTTTTTTAAAGAAAAATAAAGTTATGTTTAGCGACGGAACTATATCTGTAGCTAATCCGTTGCTGATGACCACTTAAGTATTTTCCCTAGGGCACAAATATGGTAAAACACCTAGTCTCTTCTAAAAGAATAGAAGACACACGAGAGAGCAAATTTCAGCTGGGAGATAAACTGGATAAGGGATTTTATGAACAAGAGCAAATATCAGTAGCCAACGTGAATCTAAGGTTTGTAGATGGCTTTGTTTCTTATTCTCTTTCTTATGCTTAGTACTAATTTTGGGTACCAAAAAAGATAAGCCACCTATTTGTATATTATCAAGTATGTTTGCCTAAGAGATGTTTTGTTTAATATATGAAACTAACAAATTCCTTTGGTGGTCTAATTAATCGTCTCCTGCTTATCTTCTTAATTTTTTGTCCAAATCTACAAAAAATTTCTTCACATAGCTTTAGACAAATTATGTATTAGAAATTTAATTTATATTTTTTGTTTCATAGGGTGCTTTCACCGCTTTTGATGATATGTCAAGCTCCGTTTCTTCTTAATTAATACCGTCGCCGCTTATACGGATAGCCAAATCAAGTTCAGGTAAACTCTCTCTACTCTTTCTATTTCTCCCTCTCTCTTTGTCGCTGTCTCTATCTAGAGCTTTATTTGACAACAATTTTTTTTTAATATTGCTTGTTGATTAGTAACTTCAAATGGGTGTTTGAACAAATGATTTTTTGGGCTTTTTTGGTTTAGCTCAATAGGTCTCAGATACTTGCATAACTTAGCTTGATGTTTACCATGAATTATATCTCTGTCACTGATAATGTGAACAATAGGGTGGATACGAAAAGTGAGCAGTTTTGGTAAAATTATAAAGAATTAAAGAATATAACAAAAAATGTGCATTCATAGATTATTATTGTGTTTGATAGTCAATCTCGTCTCTATCTCAAGTCGCACTTGTTAAAAAGAATATTAAAATCTGGAAGTATTACAATTTTAATTAATGCTATGGGTTGAGCTTTTCCTTTAATCCCGTAAGTTTTATAACTTAGTTCTAAAGTTTTTCTATACATTTGTCTTTCTTCCCAACTATTTAGAAAAGATATTGGTTAATTTATCAGTTTATGTTATATATATATTGCCGAGTTATATTTTATTATGAAAGACCAGATAAGCCATATGTGTTTTAGCTGAGAAGAGTGCATTCAAAGTTGAATTTTAATTTGTAGATAGATTCTACTTTAACTAATGTTGGATATGCATCTTGCAAATACTAATTGCGCTTGAATTAGTTATACCAATTTTATTATTGTCATCATATAGTATTTGCATTAGTTCATCTAACAAGCGAAGAAACAAAAAGAATACGACAACTCTTCCAAGCTCAAGCTTAACTTCTTGAGAGGATTGTTTCAGTCTACAGTCATGTAAGGTTATAACTTATGTTTCCATTATTAGGATGTTGTAGATAAAGATTAGATTATAATTATAGTATCATATAATACTTTGTTAGGACTTTTGTCCTCCTATAATTTTGTCCTTGCATATAACAAGTATGAAAAGTATCCTCTCTGTTGGTTAATTAAATGCTCAACATTCTTGACTATTTTAGTTTCACTACTTATTACACCTTTTTTACAAGAAAGGTATCAAGAAATATTACGGGAACAAACACAAACTCAATCTGATATTGATCAATGTAAAACATATTACGAAGCTACGGGAAGGGAAAAGAAGAGAAGAGTATATGGTCTTGGATCTCAAGCAAAATGCTACTATGGGCCGAATCTTCGTGGCTCTTCTGGATCAGATGCTTCATCATCAATACCACCTTCAAGTGCTCAATCAGCATCAATAGAGAACCTGGATGAGTTAGGGATGCGTTTGATTCCTGCACTAACAGAGCACATAGTTCCCGTGTTAACTGATCACATGCTTCCAGTGTTGACTGAGCGGGTGCGTGAAATGATTTTGTCACCCTCACATCAGCCTACTTCTACTGACCACCCATCAGATGTGGTACCAATAGTTCATTCTCCTACTATTGCTATTGTTCATGGGGTTCATCCATCGGTTTCAGATGATGACCTTAACCCCTAAGCCTCGTATTTGGAAGCTTTTTGGTTTGAACTTTATTATTGGTGTTAGGGATAATTCGAACTTAATTGTATTAGCTATATGCATTTTGATATCATTTTGGACCTTGAAGTATGTTAATTTATATGAATTTTAGTTATTATTAAGGATATCTAATAATTTACATACAAAGTGCATAAGCAGAGAAAATTTAAAATGTTAAATAAAAAAGATCTAAAAGGGAAAAATATTGCGATAGATTGCGACGAATAGTATTCGTAACAAAAATAAATATAAAAATAACATTGCGTCAGATTGCAACAAACGATTTTGGTCGCCAAATGCAAAGATGAAATGACTCAAAATATTGGCGACAGATTAGCGGCCGACTTTCCGTCGCAAAAGTATACCAACGGTGAAATGCATTATCAATTTAGCGATAAAATTTCCTAATATAGCGACGGAAATTCTGTCGCTAACTGTAGCAACGGATAATGTTCGTCGCTAGAACGTCGCTAATATTGCGACGGGTTCCATTTTTCCATCGCGAAGAGCTTAGCAACGAGCAAATCAAAAACAGATGGTAATCCGTCGCTAATCCTGCTTAGCGACAGAAAAGGGCTCTATAGTGACGGATTTCGTTCGTCGTTAAATGCTATTTTTTGTAGTGACCTTTCAGGTTGACTTTTTATTTCTTTGTAAAGATCATAATTTTATTGTTCAAATTAGTTTCTTATAGTTTATATTTATAGTATGAAGTTGTTTTGGCTAGATTCGAGCTGTTTGGAATTGGATAATCGAGGGAAAGACCTACTAGTGGATTGAGTTAGCGTGATTTGAGGTAAGTGACTTGTCTAACCTTGTGTGAGGGAATTTTTCCATAGAATTTGTGTTGGTTGTGATAATTGTGATATGTGAAAGCCGTGTACGCAAGGTGACGAGTGTGTAAATGGACTAAATGTGGAAGTTACCGGTTTTAGCTATGTAGATTCCTTTTATGCCTTAATTGAGTTACCTTAACATGTTATAGTCATCATTTCTAGTCTATTTTCACATGTCTACTTGTCTTATCTCTTACTTGCTAATTGCTCTACATGTTTAGTTGAAGTTCTTGTTTCCTTTATTCCGTATTCATTATTTAACAATTGAACTCTTTACTTGAAGTTGTTATTCTTGAAATATCTTGTTGTTGAAATTTGTATTGAGTTATAAAGGCAGTAATTTGCTTTTGAGGCAAACTGTTCAGTTGTGAAATACTATTCTTGTTGAGTTATTCACTACCGGTTATTATTGTTGAGACTCTTGGGTATATTGTGGTTGAGCCATGAGCTCTTTATTGTAAAAATACTGTTATTGTTGATTTCTGTGACAAGTTGTGATATTGGGCACTTGAGGTGCGATTTGTGATACATTGTGATATTGATACGTATGTGGTGCTATAATGTAAGGCCCCGTTAAAATTTTCTAATGATTTAAGATTTTAAGACGCGCCAACAGTATTTGGGAATAGCGTGTTCGAATATTAGAGGAGACCCATGGGATAGAACCATATCATTTTGAAATGAAAATATATGTTTAGGCTGTGTTGGAACATACTAAGGAGTTTTGTGAATGGAAAGAATTTGTAAGGAAACAAGTTGGATACATTAAGTGGAAAGGATGTCCCAATTCGTACAATATCATACTTCAAACGCATGCCTCTACCATACTATAATGACTTAGAAAGTTATATACCTATCAAATTAAATTCCTTTGAGTCTAGTTTCCAACGCATCAAACCGTTTGTCATTTGGATATGTATACAGAAAGTTATAGCCATTTTGCTGGACCTGTGTCATATGCGCGGCCATGCATATTTGAGAGTTTTTGCCTTGTGTGCGCGGCCAGATGCACAGCCACTTGCCCAGGTGCGCGTTCGCACATGTAGGAGCCCATTAAATACCCCCAAGGCCGGGTAGAGAGAGGGTTAAGTTATTTCTTTGAGCTAGGGCTTGCATATCAAGGGAAATCCGTCCAACACCTCCCTCCCATGAATCATGGTAATGTTTTTGGAGTAATTTTGAGTTGATTACTACTCTTAAACACTTGTATTAACTAGGATTAATCTTAAAGACCCATAGATTTCCATTCAAATCCCTAAATTGGTCAAGAACATTACAAGTTGGGATTTTCAAGAGTCTCACTACAAGAGGTATGTCCACCATCTCTAACTGATTCATGGTGATTATTTATATATGAAATATATGTTAGGACTTATGGGGTAGTGATTGGAAGCCACAAATGCCTAACCTAGGTTGTGTTGGTATTGTAGAGATTGTAAAATGAATTAATTGATTAGATTGATGGGTTGGGAGTGAATTGTTGGGCATGTATGTGCTAATGGAAGTTGTGGATGGCATGGAGACGATTGTGAGGTGAATCATTGGTGTGGAAGGTTGTTGTTAGGTGAATAAATTTCATTGGAGGGGGTTGTAGAAAGATATGCACACTAGATGTTTGATAAAAAGTCTAAGTGACTTAAAGTATAGAAATCTTGCTAATATTGGAGCAATTGTGTTGCATTATTATAGATTGAAGTTGTTTAGTGTGGTGCAACGACGTAGTATTATTAAGGGGCGAATTCCAGGTATGTTGGCTAAACTTTCTCTCTTAGAATCGAATTCCATTATGTTCCCTTGAGTTTCAAAGTATGGGTTGCGTATTAAAATGTTATGGCTTTGAGTCGTGTTTCAAATGAAAGCTAGTATGCCAAATTGTGTGAGAAAAATTCGATATGTTTAAGGTTCTAAATTGCTCATATGTGTACCTAAAGTCTTGATTGAAAATGTCTTGTTGTTGATAATCTATAAAGATGCTTGAAAATGAAATAAGTGAATTGGGGATATAGAGTGTGGTCAGCGTGCTAAGAATTTAAGTCATAATTATGGCTAGTGGTGCCAATGAAATGAGAAGGTGTGATAAAGATTATGAAATGAGCCTCAACCCAACTATTTAAAAATGATTTCGAAAATAGAATTGCCTAATAGCTTTTGCATTCAATTCATGCCCCATAAGTGTCTATTTTAACTAATGATTTGCTTTATAGATATATCCAGTGTGGCTCGAGTTCTCACATACTCAGACGTTGAAATTGTATGTTGTAAATTCTGGGAAAGGGTATTGCAAGAATAAATGGTGTATTGATTCTATATGATTTTGATGAGTGTTTCTATTGCTGGTCGTTATGCCCCATTCTTTGGGAAGAAATCTATTGTGTTTAAAGTTTCTATTACTAATGAATTTGAGGTATATGATTGCTGAAATATTCTATATGTTGATATTTGATGGTGATCTTTGAAATTGAAAGAGGTAAAAATGTGGAATATGAAATACGGCGACCGTGCCAGGAATAACGAATCTTGTGAATGACCAAATGAGCCAAGGAAATATTATTGTTGTGAGTAACTGGAAATACTAATGAGAATTTATATAAAGTAAAAGATGTTGAGGTGAGTACAATTGTATTTATGTTACCTTTTTATGCAAATCAAATCAAAAATATTTTTGGGGGCATCATTAGTAAAACCGAGGAAGGGTGGGTCATAAGGCCCGCACCTGAAACTACACATGCCGGTGTAGGGGTGGATTGTGATTATCCCCCTTATTTGGGATGAAATTGAAATATTTGTAAAATTGTGATTATTTCCCTTAATTGGAATGAAACTAGTTGTCGGCCTTATTGTCGGCATTTCTATATTACTCTTCTATTGTACTTAGAGGCTCCGTAGATAGGTTGTGGGTGGTGTTTGATGTGAGGAATTGAACTAGAAATGTTGGTATTTGGCAAACATATTTTTTATTATATCTATAAACTTGTAATATTTTGGAAATTATGAACGAAACTGCTAATGGAATGAAATGGGAGTTGTTAATGAAATCTTTTCAGTGTTTGACTAATAAAGTGCATCTCCTCTTTATTCATGAATGAGTTTGGGTAGAAGGAAATCTAATAGGCTTTCTCGGACGGGTTCACTTGGTTGAGTGCCGGTCGCGCTCCCTAAGTTCAGGGCGTGACAAACTTGGTATCAGAGCCTAAGGTTTTAAAGTATCCTAGGATGTCTCGGAGCCGTGAATAGAAGAGTCTTTCTTATCGTTGTGTTGTTGACCACATCTATAATGAGGAGGCTACATGGACATTTAGGAATTTCACCCTTCTTTGATACTCCAGATTGTGCGATAGAGCTCAAGGTAGGAAGCTAAATTCCTCGTCATATCTTATTTTCCATATGAGTAACCCACAAGTTCGAGGCAGCGAGGAGGTATTGAAAGAACCAGTTGCTAGGGGAAGTGTCATCGTTCCTATAAATGTTACCGTGCCACCGGAATATGTGGTGAGAGCACCTAAGAAATGAAAGAGGATTATTAGCATCAATGAGCCAGAATGTTTGATATGAAAGAAGAGCCATTCGGGTTTATGTTGGATGATTCTTGAAGCATGTTATGGTTGTGGAAAGAAGGGGCACAAGAAGAACAAATGCTCTTAGGTTAGGTACACCCATCCAGGTCTGCCCGATATGCCGGAGGGAACATTTTGCGTCATGTTGTGAGTATGCTCAAAAGCGTGTTAGGGGTGGTAGATTTGGGCAATTCCAAAAGTCCATATAACGAGCTGTTGCGGAGATTGTTAATCCCATCACGGGGTCCTGGGGGAAGGATAGGGGGAATGCTTATGATGTATGCAAAAAGGGAAAATATCAGGTCGGTGGGGCGAGTCAGTTTAACAGACCTCATCCTTATTGTGTGAAGTTTAGGATATGTCATTCAGGGTTATATCACTATGGTACCAATGTATGTTACGGATGTGCAGTCGAGGGGCATCAGTTAAGGCACTGCCCCGTCAATCTAAAGTCATCAAGTAAGTCACTCCTTAATACATCATTATGAACACGAATAATTTTCCTTGTTGTATATGTACATCTATATTTAAGAGCCTATATAAATATGGTCTTAACCAAAATATTGAATAAAAAAATATTGCATGTACTTACTTTTTAAACGAGACGCATTATTCGCGAAGTCACTCTATCACAAATTCTCTTATTTACAACTCCTTGAGGAATTGAGTCCTATAATGATTTCCTTGGAATGAGTTATAACCCTAG